TGGTGCCCCGCAAATCGCGCTACACAGGCTCGTGGAGCCACGCGCGAATTGTGACTCACCGGAACGCCAATTGGGTGACCGAACCGTTGCTATCTGCGGCCCCTGTGGCAGCTACGCCGTGGCTGGTGTTGCGGGATCAAATAACCTGGGAGTGATCTCTGGCAAACGAGATGTGGTGCTTCTCAGCCTGCACTCATGTGACACGCAATGCCGTGCCCTGCAATCGCGTGGTGTTTCTCAGCCTGCACTCGCAGGTCCTTCGGAGGTCAATTGTTATGAGTTCGGCACGGTCTCGGTCAAGTACAGCGTGCTGTGGGGATCCCGAGATGGGGCCTGGCTCAAGGTGCTCAAGACGTACTGGAGTGTCCCAGAGCCGGAGTGCCAGCTGATCCTCGGGAGTTGGAACGGCATTTTCAGGCCGTGGCCGGACACGTTCTGGATCAGGACGGGGGGGTCCGAGCCCGAGATAGATGCTAGCGCTCTGCAGTACAAGTGCTTTTCAGCATGCGACATCCTGCGGTGCTTCTCAGCCTGCAGGGTTCGCAGCGTGCGGTTTGCAATGCATTCCTTTTCAGTATGCGAGTTCCTGCGGTGTTTCTCAGGTTGCAGGGCTCCGAGGCTCTTCCCTTCGATGCCAATGTTTTCAGACACCGTAGCTCCGTTCCGTAAACATCTTCCAAGAGCCGCTCGCAACTTTTTGCAGCTGGCGGTCTGCAGACGTAGTCTGTCTCAGCATGCGAGCTCCCGCACGCTTCGCCGGCTTTTGCTGCGCGGACAATTTTCTCACACACGTCAGCGCCGTTTGTAGGCGTCAGAAAAACATGTAGACATTCACGAAGGGCTCAGTCTGTATATCGTCACATCATTACATACGCAGTCGTCGAACACATCGGTGTACATTCAGCGCTTTGTCCTTCTAGCTGGGTCGCTTCGTGCTGAGGCTGAGGCTGATGCAGGCTGAGGCTGAGGCAGGCTGAGGCTGAGGCCGAGGCCGACGGCAGACTGAGGCTGAGGCTGAAGCAGGCTGAGGCTGAGGCAGAGGCAGGCTGAGGCTGAGGCTGAGGCAGGCTGATGCTGAGGCAGGCTGAGGCTGAGGCTGAGGCTGATGCAGGCTGAGGCTGAGGCAGGCTGAGGCTGAGGCCGAGGCTGAAGGCAGACTGATGCTGAGGCTAAAGCAGGCTGAGGCTGAGGCTGAGGCAGGCTGAGGCTGAGGCAGGCTGAGGCTGAGGCTGAGGCAGGCTGAGGCTGAGGCTGTGACTGCGACTGCCGTTGCCGCTGCGACTGTCCTCGCGAATGCGACAACGACTGCGAGAACAGCAGAATTCTACAACTGGATTCTCATCCGAATCTTAAGGGGAATGCTTCCAGATATGCTCCTACACATGGCTGTTAGGTTGCTTTGCCGGGATACTTTTGTTTTTTTTTTTTTCCCCCCCCCATGTTTTCAACATCGACGTCCCTCCGTTTTGGGCGCCCTTTTTGTTTCGCTTTCAAGTCCGCGATCTGCCCGTGGCTCACCTGCTAGATTTCTCACGTTTGCATTCGTTGTTTTAAAATACGTCTCAGCATCACAATGCCGCCTGCCTGACGTCCACATCCCAGGGTGTCGCTTTCAGAATATTGTGGTCGGATCAAGAGCGAAAAGTGGAAAACAGCAGAACAAATACCCTCCAGCGTTTGTAATTTCAGCTGAACCTGGGGGTCATCTGGGCCTCGCGAGGGCTGCTCCGGAAGACGTCCCGGCCTCCAGGGAAGTGCTGGGGACACTTTTGAAACGCCCGATCCGTGGGACCGTCGCCATCCGTCCAAACCCAAAGGCACGAAACACCACATCGATGGGAGGATTGGCCCCGCGTCTTCGCACCATTCTGGAGCCCCCGCGGTGGCCCCGCGGCCCCCTGGGCCTCGCGAGGGATGCTTTGGAAGACACCCGAACCTCTCGGGAAAATCCTGGGGACACCTTTCCCTGACCGCGCTTCGCTCGAGGGCTCGAGCAGGGGTTGAAGAGGATCACGGAGGAGTCCCGCAGGGGGGACGGGGAGCCCTGGACCGCCCGTTCTGGCAGTTGTTTCGCATGGGGCGTCCTCACACTCTGTGCAGGAATCGTGCTCTCGCCCCACTGCCGCCCGCATCTTTGGTCCGAACGGCCACGATCCCTTGCGCAACAAAATGCTAAGGTGTACATGGCCGTGCTCTCACCCCTGTCCCCGCCGCATCTTCTCTTTCCCAGGGTTTCCTGGCCGTGCTTCTCCTATCCTTCGACCCGCCCATTCGCCCTTGCTGCTGTTGGGGTGCTTTGCTGCGGCATCTCTTTCAGTCCCGGAGTTTTTCTTTGATTTTGGCTTGTGGAGTTCGTTATTGGGCCCCGGGATCATCAAACATGGATCCGTGACGGAAAACTGCCCCCAGGGAAGCGGTCGGGATTTCTGAGGCCCTTGATTGAAACTATCCTGGCGAGGGGCCGATCCGTTTCTGCTTGTCCCACGGCCCAATAACGGGCTCCAGAGGCCGAACATATTGCAAGAAAACCGAGGAACATCCGTTCTGGACTGTGCCGGGGAAAACCGCTGGGACTGAACCAAAATGATGCCGCCAGAGATCTGGGAAGCGACCTCCCCCCTTCACTCCCCCGAGCGGGCCGTCGCACAGCTCAGCAGGGCCTGCAGCCGACATCCATGGGCAGGGCACGGGAGAGCCGAGCACAAAGTTGGAGCGGCGTGCGATTCGACATGAGATGGCTCCTCCTCCTCCTCCTCCTCCTCCTCCTCCTCCTCCTCCTTCTCTTCGGTTTCAGTGTGCCGTCCCCCCCCTGCCATCCGACGTTTCGATTTTTACCTAACAGCGAAGACTGATAGGTTTCTAATGGGCTAAAAAGAGAGCAGCAGATGACTCCACAGGGGGGTCTGGGCAGCCGTTGGGGACGAGTTGGGGTTTGCCGGCGGGGATCGTTTTTCGCAAACAGTCACACACTTCGTGCTCTTCGACCTCCCAGAACTCCATTCCCGGGCCACATTCTGAATGCCCGGAGCCAACTGTAGGCCACTTCGTGCTCTTCGAGTTCCCAGAACTCCATTCCCGGGCCACATTTTGAATGCCCGGAGCCAACTGTAGGCCACTTCGTGGTCTTCGAGTTCCCAGAACTCCATTCCTGGGCATGATTTTGAATGCCCGGAGCCAACTGTAGGCCACTTCGTGGTGTTCGAGTTCCCAGAACTCCATTCCTGGGCATGATTTTGAATGCCCGGAGCCAACTGTAGGCCATTTCGTGTTCTTCGAGTTCCCAGAACTCCATTCCCGGGCCACACTTTGAATGCTGAGGCAGGCTGATGCTGAGGCTGAGGCAGGCTGAGGCTGAAGGCAGACTGAAGCTGAGGACGAGGCTGAAGGCAGACTGAGGCTGAGGCTGAAGCAGGCTGAGGCTGAGGCTGAGGCAGGCTGAGGCTGAGGCTGAGGCAGGCTGATGCTGAGGCAGGCTGAGGCTGAGGCTGAGGCTGATGCAGGCTGAGGCTGAGGCAGGCTGAGGCTGAGGCCGAGGCTGAAGGCAGACTGAGGCTGAGGCTGAAGCAGGCTGAGGCTGAGGCTGAGGCAGGCTGAGGCTGAGGCTGAAGCAGGCTGATGCTGAGGCAGGCTGAGGCTGAGGCTGAGGCTGATGCAGGCTGAGGCTGAGGCTGAGGCTGGCCGAGGCTGAAGGGACTGAGGCTGAGGCTGAGGCTGAGGCTGAGGCAGGCTGAGGCTGAGGCTGAGGCTGATGCTGAGGCTGAGGCTGAGGCTGAGGCTGAGGCAGGCTGAGGCTGAGGCTGAGGCCAGGCTGAGGCTGCTGAGGCTGAGGCTGAGGCAGGCTGAGGCTGAGGCTGAGGCAGGCTGAGGCTGAGGCAGGCTGAGGCTGAGGACGAGGCTGAAGGCAGGCTGAGGCTGAGGCTGAGGCTGAAGGCAGGCTGAGGCTGAGGCTGAAGGCAGGCTGAGGCTGAGGCTGAGGCAGGCTGAGGCTGAGGCTGAGGCAGGCTGATGCTGAGGCAGGCTGAGGCTGAGGCTGAGGCTGATGCAGGCTGAGGCTGAGGCAGGCTGAGGCTGAGGCCGAGGCTGAAGGCAGAGGCTGAGGCTGAGGCTGAAGCAGGCTGAGGCTGAGGCTGAGGCAGGCTGAGGCTGAGGCTGAGGCTGAGGCAGGCTGATGCTGAGGCAGGCTGAGGCTGAGGCTGAGGCTGATGCAGGCTGAGGGTGAGGCAGGCTGAGGCTGAGGCCGAGGCCGACGGCAGACTGAGGCTGAGGCTGAAGCAGGCTGAGGCTGAGGCAGAGGCAGGCTGAGGCTGAGGCTGAGGCAGGCTGATGCTGAGGCAGGCTGAGGCTGAGGCTGAGGCTGATGCAGGCTGAGGCTGAGGCAGGCTGAGGCCGAGGCTGAAGGCAGACTGATGTTGAGGCTGAAGCAGGCTGAGGGCGAGGCTGAGGCAGGCTGAGGCTGATGCAGGCTGAGGGTGAGGCTGAGGCAGGCTGAGGCCGAGGCTGAAGGCAGACTGATGTTGAGGCTGAAGCAGGCTGAGGGCGAGGCTGAGGCAGGCTGAGGCTGAGGCAGGCTGAGGCTGAGGCTGAGGCAGGCTGAGGCTGAGGCTGTGACTGCGACTGCTGTTGCCACTGCGACTGCCATCGCGAATGCGACCACGACTGCGAGAACAGCAGAATTCTACAACAGGATTCTTATCTGAATCTTAAGGGGAATGCTTCCAGATATGCTCCTACACATCGCTGTTAGGTTGCTTTGCCGGGATAATGTTAGAGACACGGGCCCCCGACCTCTCGACCACTTCCTGGCTTCCCATCCTGCGTCTGCTGCGTATGGACGGCCCCGAGGCCCGGGAAGGGCCCCGAGAGGCCGCAAACGATGACCCCCCCCCCGCCTCGACTTTTTCGAGGCGCCCGAGGGGCCCGAGGTCTCGGCCTGGGCCCTCGGGGCGGCCAAACGACGACCGCACAGCGTGGAGCGCTCCCGGCGAGCTCCGCCCCGAGAGGCCGCCCGCCCTCGCGCGCGGGCCCGCTGGAGCCTCGCTGCGCCCCAGCCTGTGGCGGGGGCCCCGGTTGCGCCGGCGGCCGTCGGGATTGTGCCGCGGTGCCGCGGTGCCGCGGGCCACGGGCCACGTTTCCGGACACGATCGCGTCGTCAGGAAGTCGTGACGGGGGGTTTTCGGCAGGGTTCGGCCTCTGGGGGCCCTCGCCAAGCCCCAGGACCGTCACGAAACGATTCAGGGTCCCAGGGCCAGGCTCGGGACTTTCAGCGACCCCGTGCTGTAACAATCAGGACATCGCATGTCGGGGTCAGGTTTTGTGGTCCTTCATGGGAGCCTCAGAGGGTCCCCTAATTCCTTGCGGTTTGGGGGGTTTCGTTTGGATCTCGATGCATTTGGTCGACATCGGGACGGAATCTGGTCGAAATCTGGACGAAACCTGGTCGAAATCCGGCCGAAAACACGTTTACGATAGGGCCGCGGAGGTCAACAGAGCCTCCCATGAAGGATCACCCAGCGTTAGGCCCAGACCCCCATCGAGTCATGGAAAATCATGACGGGACTTTTTCCGCAATTTCCGGCCTTTGGGTGCCCTTATTGGGCCGCGGGGCCGTCAAAACCAGGACTCGGGATGAAAAATTAGTCTTGGGGAATGGGTCGAGACTTCTGAGGGGTCGAAGCTCTGAAATAGTCACGACGTCGGGGGTCTCGGTGGTAGGGGCCGAGTTGTGGTCCGAAAACCAGGGAGCAACCAAAGAACCCGACTGAGGCTAAAACATAACAAAGCAGCTATTCCGACGCGGCCGAAGCGACGCCTGCCTACTCATCATGGTGACATGGTGCTTGACACAGGCTGTCTATACCTCCCTCGCATCTTCCTGTTGCCACTGTCCATCAGCTGGCGGTGTGGGAAGGCTCGGAAAGCGGGGGGATAGTCGCCAGGAAAGCGGCACGGAAACCCGCTGGAAGTGAGCAGCCTGCACCGGGGCATCCTATCACGGAGCACCTGCCGGGGTCGCCCACGGAAGCGGCGGGGAAGCCCGCCGCCGGTGAGCGACTGGCACTACAGCCTCCTGCCAGGGAACGCCTGCCAGGATCGCCCACGAGAGCGGCGGGGAATCCAGCCGCTGGCGAGCGGCCGGCATCAAAGCCTCTGCACGGAGCACCTGCGGGGGTCGCCCACGCAAGCAGCGGGGAAGCGGCTGGCGCCACAGCCTCCCTCCACGGAGCGCCTGCTGGGGTCACCGAGAGCTGCGGCAGGGGGACCTGCTGCCGCTGGTGGCCCAAATTTCCGCAGCCTGCTCTTATGCAAGCACCGCGTTGCATCCGTAGGGACGCCTGGTGTCTTCATGCCGCTGTAAACAGTTTTCGATGTTCGGGTTGGCCTCTGAGGCAAAAGTGTTACAAGATGTGCGGCTTGTGCGACGCGCGGCGGGGCGTTTGCTGCAGCGCGCAGGTAAGCGTCATTGTTCAGGGGGCTGAGCGGCCAATGCTGCCAGCGGCGCGCGAAGGGGGCCCAGGATGTCCTCGCTGAGCTGGAGGTTCGGGTTCTCCGCAGATGCGCCCACGACGCCCTCGAGCTTCTTCGCATGGCTGATGAGTTCGCCGACGTCACGCGTGGGCGCAGCTGCAGCCTTGGGCGCAGCGTCGTTGGCGAGCGCGGCCTTCGCCCTAGAGGCGGCGGCGTCCAGCTCGACCTGTAGCTGCGCGACGTTCTCCTTTTGGAGGTAGGACGCCTGGAGCGCCTCGACAGCTAGCTTCTGCTTCTTCTCGTAGTCCACCTTGGCTTGCTGGAGCCGTTTGCAGGCCTCGTCCGCCGCCGCCTGCGCAGACTTGACCGTCTTGATCTCGGAAAGAGCGTGTTCTACCGCTGCTGGCGGAAAACCGGGGGGGGTCACTACCGGTTCGAACCCCTCCCCCCCCCCCCCCCCCCGGAAAACCGGGGGGGTCACTACCGGTTCGAACCTCCCCCCCCCCCCCCCTGCTCATCATGAAAAGGGGGGGGGGTCACTACCGGTTCGAACCCCTTCCCCCCCCCCTCCGGATCCGGAAAACCGGGTGGGGTCACTACCGGTTCGAACCCCCCCCCCTCGAAAACCGAGTGGGGGTGCGGACAGTGGTGGGGGCGGTGTTGGTGGGGACAGTGGTGAGGGGATAGCGGGACAGTGGTGGGGACAGTGGGACAGTGGGACAGTGGTGGGGACGGTAGTGGTGGGGACAGTGGTGGGGACAATGGTGGGAACAGGGGGGGACAGTGGACAGTGGTGGTGACGGTGGTGGTGGGGACAGTGGTGTGGGGACAATGGGAATGAGGTGGAAACAGTGGGACAGTGGAGGGTACAATGGTGGTGGGGACAGTGGTGAAGGCGGTGGCGAGGACGGCGGTGGGACAATGGGACAGAGGTACAGTGGGGACAGTGGTGGGGACAGTGGGGACAGTGGTGGGAACAGTGGGACAGCTCAGTGGGACAGCGGAGGAGTCAGTGGGACAGTGGGGACAGTGGGGATAGTCGGGCAGTGGTTGGGGCCGTGGAGACAGTGGGGAGAGTGGAACCGTGGTGGGAACAGTTCTGGGGACAGCGGGGACAGTGCGACAGTGGTGGGGCCACTGGTGGGGACAGTAGGGGCGGTGGTGGAACCAGTGGGGACAGCGGTGGTGAGGACAGTGGTGCTGGGAACACCAGTGGGGGATGTGATGCGGACGGTGGTGGGGACCGGGAGTCGTTTGCTGGCGGTGAGTAGGGGGGGGGGGGGGGGGGGGGGGGGGGGGGGCGAACCGGTAGTGCCCCCCCGGTTTTCCGGATCCGGAGGGGGGGGGGGGGGGAGGGGTTCGAACCGGTAGTGACCCCCCCCGGTTTTCGAGGCGGGAGGGGGGGGGGGGGGGAGGGGTTAGGGGAGGGGGGGGGTTTTGCCGGGGGAGGAGGGGGGGGGGGGGGGGGGGGGGGAGGGGTTCCAGCAGGGGGGGGGGGATTTTCGGAGGGGGGGGGGGGGGCGACCCCCGGGTTCCGGAGGAAAAAGTTGGCAATTTTCCACAGTAAAGCGGCGGTGGATCACGCTCTCTCTGATCTCGGAGAGCGTGCCCAGCTGCTGCTGCATCAGGAAACGAGATTGCCGCAGGCTGTGCTTGTCACTGGCGGACAGCGTGACGGACAGCAGCTCGAAGTCGGCCTCGTTGAGTGCCAGGAAACGGTCACGGGCCTCGGGCGGCTCGGGCGAGAGAGCTTGGGCGGCTGCGCCCCGGAGCTCCCGCCACCTCCACGCTTCGGCTTCTGCACGATGTGCCACGGGCGGGAGTCGCCAGGTTCATCCGCCCAAGCCCCGCGCGGTGGAGGAGGACCATCACGAGGAGCAGGCACAGCACGATTGGTCGGCCGACAGCCCGTGCACCCCGCCTGCCGACACTTCGCGCGCCAGCCCAGGTTCTTGTAGTACGCCAACTCGTCCCCTGAGCCGACTCACTCGCTGCACCAGCGCCAGCGCCGCCGCCGCCGCGAGGAGGAGGAGCCATGCCACGCGAACGGCGCGCCACAAGGGTGGCGGGCTCGTCACTTGGGGCGGACCAGGCGGAGACACTGGAAGACTGCTGCGGACTAGCGGTATCCTTACAGGCACGGAGGCGCGGAGCCCCCAGTGTGCAGGCATCTTGAGCCAAAATGGCTACGGATGATGATGATGATGATGATGATGATGATGATGATGATGATGATGATGATGATGATGATGATGATGATGATGATGATGATGATGATGATGATGATGATGATGATGATGAGGAGGAGGAGGAGGAGGAGGAGGAGGAGGAGGAGGAGGAGGAGGAGGAGGAGGAGGAGGAGGAGGGAGGAGGAAGAGGAAGAGGGAGGAGGAGGAGGAGGACGGACGTTGCCGCTGTGGACCGAGGCGCCCCCCCAACCGAGGCCAGGGCGCCTCGGGCCGCGGCGCTCCACGGGCAGCTGCCCGTCGCCGCCCCAGGCGGGCGTCCGCCGCGGGGCCATGGAGCGCGGCCTGGTGCTCTGCCCCGCAGAGCTCGAGGGGGGGTCGAGTAGGAGATCGACTACGTAATGGATTTACCCCGAATTTCGACACGCCTCTGCCTTGAGTTTGTCGAAACGTTGGGGGTCTGCCTGCCCCCCCCCCCGCAAGGGAGCGTGTTGTCATGTTTCGCGATTGCGGCCGCTACCGCCCGGGAATAGAAAGCACGCTTTTCACACCCTCGAGTAGGAGATCGATTGCAGAATTGATGCACCCCAGCATTATTTAATCGCTTCGCTCATTCCGCCGGCCCATCTTGTCGCACCGTTGTGGGCTAGCCGAGTTTTGGGGCCTCTTGGGGGCCGTTTTGGGGCCTCTTGGGGCCTCTTTTGGGCCTCTTGGGCGCCTCTTGGGGCGTCTTGGGGGCCTCTTGGGGGCCTCTTGGGGCCTTTTTGGGGCCTCCTGGGCGCCTTCTGGGGCGGAGGGCTCGATTTTTCAGTTCTCGGTTCCCCTCTTGAGCCCCTCTTGGGCCCGTCTTGGGGCCTCTTGGTCCGTCTTGGGCGGCACTTGGGCCGTCTTGGGGGCCCTCCTGGGCCGTTCCGGGGCCGTCTTGGGAGCCTCGTGGGCCGTCTGAGAGCGGTCTTGGGAGCCTCTTGGGCCGTCTTGGAGCGTCCGGAAAGCCAGAACGCAAAAAACATAGAAAAAACAATGAAAATTAACGATTTTGGCTTCTTGGGGCCCTCTTCGGAGGCCTCTTGGAAGGCCCTTGGGGCGTCTTGGAGGCCTCTTGGGCTGTCTTGGGGCGCTGTTGGGCGTCTTCGGGCGATCTTTGGCCGTCTCGGGGCCCTCTTGGACCGTCTTGGAGGCTTCTTGGGGACCTCTTGGCCCGTCCTGGGGCCCTGTAACAGGGCTCCGGCATCTCTGGCCCGACCTTGCCGGGGACTTGCCGGGACCTTGCCGGGGACTTGCCGGGACCTTGCCGGGGTACTTTTCGTCCGGGGACCCCCAGGGGCCGCCCCGCGCGCGCGAACTAGAAATACTGTTAACCAGGTACCGGAGATCTTAGCACGCCCTGGCCCGTTGGGCCGGGGAATTTCTTCCTCGAACCTGCGAACAGTTCGCAGAACGTTTGTAGGTCTACGGAGCATCCTAGGCATTTCGACGAACAAACCCATTTTGGGGTGCATCCTTTTCGAGGGGCTGGAGCGTGCTTGTATTCCTGGACAATATCGGGCGTTCTCGGGGGGAGCGGGGGCGTAACGTCACGTTTCGCCCCGGCGCCGTCTGGGAACGTCTAGGAATAACCCCAGGCAGTTCGGACGTCAGGACGAATCGTCGGGTTACCTGGAGTGGCCGGGGCGGCCGGGGCCTGCAACAGCCGCAATCGCGAAACAGAGCAAAACGCTCTCTTGCGGGGGGGGGGTGGTGGGGGGGCAGACCCCAAACGCTTCGTGAAAGTCAAGTTGGAGGTTTGTCGCAGCCTTCGGCGCCTGGGGGGGCCCTCGCTGGCCTGCGGGACCGTCAGAAAACGACTCAGGATGAAAAACTGGCCCTGGGGAACGGGTCGGGACGTCAAGGGTGCCCGTATCGAAGAAATCAAATCATCGAATGTTTGAGGCGCCGCAGGAAGGATTCGAGGTACGGTTTTCGGACGTTTTCGTCGGTTCCTGGCGGCTTTCCAGCCTCAGGTTGCCTTCCAGCGGTTGCGCCTCGCCGAGAATGGTCGTCGGAGGCTCGAGCCATGACCCGAAAACCACCTGTGGCCACCGCTGCTGCTCCGCCCCGAAGGGCTCAGCAGGGGTGCGGGGGCGAGGGGAAGGAGGTGGTGCGGCCTGCGGCTGTCAGTCGAACCTTCCCATCCTCATGCATCCCTTATTGATTGTCTTCTCCCCTGTGCTGCGTGGCCCTCTTGCCCGTCCCGTGCCCGCGTCCGCGCGGGCTGCTTGACGCTTCGGGTCTCTGAGGCCCAACAGCTTGCCTCAGAAGAAAAGCAGGTGGTGCGGGAGGGCTGGGAGGGTAGGGCTTGGAGCTGGCTGGGGGGTGCGTGGTGGCCCAGCGCTGGCACCGAACAGCAGAGCGGTGGAGCGAGAGGAGACCCCTCGTGGCCACAGCTGTACGAGGCTCGAAAAGCTAGTCAGTTTCGAATGCGGGAGGGGTCTGGGGTCCGATTTGACCCAAGTTGCCCTCGTCTCCCCCTGCTTGGCTGATTTTCAGTGGGCTTGTCTAGTTCAAACACTCCGCCGCCTCCTACATAAGGCAGGCCTAGGTCCCGGGAGGTTGTTTTCAGCATCGGCACTAGCAGTTCCTTCGGTCTACACCGGCCTCGTCAGGCCGCTTCTGTTTTGATCGGGCTTGATCCAGACTAGTATGATGATCACTAGGTTTTTTTTCGGCCCAGTGCCCCTAATCAGCCTTAGTAGTCCTCAGCTGGTTTCGTTCCTGGACAAACGCGCCCCCGATTCCTTTAATCATTCGCTTTGCCTCATACAACTGCTCAGCTCCAGCTATCCTGGGGAAAACTTCGGAGGGAACCAGCTCCTAGTGGTTCAATTAGATGTTCGTCTCTATACCCAGGTATGACGGACGACTTGCACGTCAGTATCGCTGCGAGCCTCCGTCAGAGTCTCCCCAGAGTTGAATCTGGCGAAATTGGGCAAACCGTGGCAGCGACGTGGGAAACACGACATCGTTCCCACGAAGACCTCCCAGGAGTACGCAGACCTATACGACCCCCAGTTCCATCGGGGTGGAATTATCGCCCGTGGTCGCCAGGGGGTATAGAAGGGTCTCGAAGATAGTCTGCAGGAAGAGCCCTGGGGTCTAGGACTTGCTTCTTCCTCGGGGAGGGCAGAGGCTCTGGGTGTGTGTTGTCGGATGACGGTCCCCGCGTTGAATCGGGAGGCCCCCCTCGGGATCCGACGACCTGCGCCCTCACTTCCGGCGCGCCCTCACGGGCCACCCCCTCCGGGCATGAGAGTTCGTTTCCCGTTGACCATCCTTCGCCTCCGCCCCTCCCCCCTCCTCCTCCTCCCCGTCCTCCAGCCCCTTCCCTCCTCCCCTTCCTCCATCCCCTTCCCACCCTTTCCCCTCCTCCCCCTTCTCTTCTTCTCTCCTCATTTTTTCTGTGTCTCGCTCACCCACCGGGTCTGAGCTAGGCCCGGACACTGTCCGCAACGTTGGTCGCATCGCATCGCATCCATCCCCTGTGCTTGCAGATATGTTGCAAGTGTGACCGCTGTGGTGGTGTGATTCTTCGTCCCGCCGCGTATCATTATAAAGGCTGTAGACAGCTCCTCCCTGTCGGCACCCGCAGACGTGTCGGTAGTGAGGGACGGGCTTTGCGCTTTTGTGATCAAGCCTGACATTCGCAGCAGCAGCAAGGATAGAGCAGAGGTCGTATGCAGCATGGGGCCGCCCATGCATATATGGTCGGGAACGTCTGGACAGCGTGTCGCCCTGCCGGTTCTGACCCATCGCGCCTCGGCGCGACACGCTATCCACTGCCTGTCCCCGAGGCGTCAACGTCCCAAGGGTTCCCCAGGGTCCCGCCCCACGGAGCGGAGCGACGCGCTCGCTATCCGCTTGCAGGGCGTAGCGTGTCGCCGAGGCCACCGCTGCGACACGCTATCGGCATCAGCCAAACGTACTAATACTGTGTGTGCTTCCCCCCCCCCCCCCCCCACGGGGGCGACGGGCGCGCTGACAAGTGGTACATTTAGTATACGCTTCGTGGTGGGCGCTTTCTGGCCATACTGCTCGGGACACGATACTACGAGATGGTTGTACAATGTGTTCGGGTCGGACGCACGCCTCCGAGGATGACACATGGCACTAGTATGTCCTCGTGCGTCCCAGGCTAAGCAACAGTTCCTGACCGTAGGTCGGCGGCGAGCCCGGGGGGGATGAGAAGGGGCGGGTCTTCTCAGAAGGCTCCGAAGTCCCCCAGCCTTCCGAGAAAGTTTTCTAAGCCTTCCCCGAAGACACGGCAAACCTCTGAGAAGGCGCGAGTGCTTCTGAGAAGTCCGACCACCGTCTGAGAAGGCCTTCTCCGTCTCACTCCCCCCCCTCGCTCGCCGCCGAGCAGGTGCAAGGGTGCTGTGCCCGTCTACCACCCCAGAGGCCCCCGCCTCCCGAGGTGTCCTGCGAGTGGCTGCGCGCGGAGCTGGGCCGCGAGTACACGGATGATGAGGCGAGCGGCCCCGCGCACTGCCCCCTTTGCCCCCTCCTCCTATCACAGGGTCCATCTCATCTCGATCCGATCGATCCCATTCGACATCGACGTCGGCCGTCTCGATCCGACTCGATATCCATTTTCCAGGGGTTCCATGCGGCCCGAAGCTTGCATGGCGTTGTTGTGCGTCCTGGCGCGGCTGATCCGATTTGAGTTCGATTCAGTGCCCATGCAGCACGATTCGACGCACATTCCGATTCGATCCGATTTCCCGATTCGATGCTGACTGATCCTGCCGTCATGACGTCGGAGGTCTGGGGGAGGGGGGGTGATGTGGTCGGGAACTTTGGGGTACCGTGTCGCGCCGCCGGTATTGACCGACCACGCTTCGGCGCGACACGCTATCCACTTCCCGGTCCTCCAGGCGTCAACATCCCGAGCTGTTCCCAGCCTCCCGCCTGGCGGAACAGAGCGACACGCTATCCGCTTGCAGGGCATAGCGTGTGGTTGGGGCCGCCGTGGCGACACGCTAAGGGACAGTTTCCGACCGTAGGGAACGGGGGGGCTGCACGAAGTCTGGCTGCATGCAGCTGGATTCGGACCTGCCGCCAGGCGCTTTCCTCGACACAGTGGCTCCTCTGGCACCAGGAGGCGTTGGAGAAACCAGCTGCGTGAGCCGATCCGCTAAACCTCCTTTACCTCCTCCCCCCCTTTCGTCCGCTCCAGTTTTTGAGAGCAGGCTTCGCTGAGGCGTCGATTCGGGAATACGCTCCTGATAAGCCAGGCCCTGGAACATGACGGGAATCGCTCTGAAATCGTGCTCAGTGGAGGCTAGATTAGGTGTGTGGATTGTTGACGCTTCGTGTATACTGCTAGTTGTCTTGATCAGGGAAGTGTAGGAGCACGCAGCGGAACAGAGAAGGGTGGGAAGTATGCGCCTTTGCGTTTTTTCTCGCTTCGAATGGTGATGATGATGATGATGATGATGATGATGATGATGATGATGATGATGATGATGATGATGATGATGCTAATGATGATGATGATGAAGATGATGATGATGATGATAATGATGATGATGATGATGATGATGCTGATGATGATGATGACGATGATGATGATGATGATGACGATGACGATGATGATGATGATGATGAGGATGATGATGATGATGATTATGATGATGCTGCTGATGATGATGATGATGCTGATGATGGTGCTGAGAAGGAGGAGGATGATAGTGGTGGTGATGATGATGCTGATAATGATGCTGCTGCTGATGATGCGGATACTGCTGATGATGCTGATGATGCTGCTGCTGATGATGATGCTGACGATGATGATGCTGATGATGCTGCTGATGATGATAATACTAATGATGCTGACGATGCTGATGATGATTATGAGGATGAGGATGAGGATGATGATGAGGATGAACATAATGAGGCGGAAGATATGGCGGATAATGGTGATGATGATAATGATGATGCTGATGATGATGGGGAGGAGGATGCTGCTTATGCTGATGATGCTGATGATGCTGATGATACAGATGATGCTGCCTATGATGATGCTGCAGCTGATGCTAATGGTGATGAGGAGGATGGGAGCAGGATGATCATGATGATGATGCTGATGATAATGAGGATGATGCTGCTGATGATGATGATCAGGATGATGATGATGAGGATGATGATGATGATGATGACGATGACGACGATGATGATGCTTATGATGATGATGATGATGCTGATGATCATGATGACGATGATGATGATGATGACGATGACGATGATGATGATGACGACGACGATGATAATGATGATAATGATGATAATGATGATGACGATGATGATCATGATGATCATGATGCTGATGATGCTGAGGATGATGATGCTGATGATGATGATGACGATGATGATGATGATGATGATGATGATGATGCTGAGGATGATGATGATGATGATGATGATGATGATGATGATGATGATGATGATGATGATGATGCTGATGCTGATGATGATGAAGATGCCGAGGATGATGATGGTGATGATGATGATGATGATGATGATGATGATGATGATGATGATGATGATGGTGGTGGTGGTGGTGGTGATGATGGTGGTGATGATGATGATGATGATGATGATGAGGAGGAGGAGGAGGAGGAGGAGGACGAGGAGCTTGGCAGAGCGGGTTGTCACTCAACTTCCGGGGAATCTTAGATGAGGAGGAGGAGGAGAAGGAGGAGGAGGAGGAGGAAGATGCGGATGAGGAGGAGGATGAAGGAGGAAGAAGGCGACGTCGACGACGGCAAGTCAACTATAAAGGCCTTTGCGGATATTTCGCTCTGGGAGCCTCTCGGAGGCATCTTGGAGCCCTCGTAGAGCCATCTTGG